CCTGTGCTCCATCGATTAAGGGTTCATTTATGCCAAGTCCTTCTAGTAGTTATTCTAGTTCTCGGTGCCCGATTTAGGACCCACCACCAATGGGGAGTTGCTTCGAGTGCGGGGAGTATGGGCATGTGTGGAGATAGTGTCCCCGTTGCTTTGGAGGTCCATTTCAACAAAGGGGTCAGGCAGTGACTTTTGCACCACTTTTTTCACCACCTGCCCAGCCAGCTCGGGGTGGGGCTCAGGCAGCTAGAGGTTGCCCTAGAGAGGGAGGTCGATCTGGTGGTGGTCATGCTCGATTCTATGTTATTCCTGCCAGTCCAGGGGTTGTTGCTTCAGATATAGTGATCATAGGTATTGTTTCAGTGTGTCACAGAGATTCTTCCACATTATTTGACCTGGTTCTACTTATTTCGATGTATCATCCTATTTTACTCATTATTTGGATATGCCTCATGAGTCCTTAATTTCACATGTTCATGTATCTACGCCTGTAGGCGATATTATTGTTGTGGATCGTATGTATCGATCGTGTGTGGTGACCATTGGAGGATTGGAGACTAGAGTTGATCTTTTATTACTTAGTACAGTTGATTCCAACATGATTTTAGGTATGGATTGGTTGTCTCCTGGTACTTACGAGTACGGTGGTTGCTGATTTTAGAGCTTTATCAGTTCAGAGATTTTCGAGGTAGCTGCATTGGCATTCGCAGACCTTGACTCTCATCCTTTTTCTTTTAGTTTTATTTATACTGTTCTACTTTCCTAGGCAGTGCACTTAGTAGTCAGACTATGCTGTTATTTAGATGCTCATGTACTTAGTGACACCCAGATTTTGGGGGAATATTGTATTTGTCACGCCCCAAAACTGGGGAGGTATGGGCGGCACCCGGTTCTATACTCGGTCCGAGCTTACACACTCTGTAACTGTGAACTCTCAAGGGGTAACCCTCAACTTAGGCCAATGAGGCCATATTCTGAATCATCTAAAAATATCGTCTCTCACATCTGAGGGGTAAACATACCCAAAAACTCATATATATTGTAACGACCCAAACCGATGGGCCGCGACGGGTGCCCGAGTCCTCCCTGTCGAACACCCCTAAGCATGCATCTAAGATATGAACGTGAATGGTATCTTCTAAATTATGAGAATAACATACATGAAGGAAACCTTTCGAAAGGGCATATGCACATATACAGGCAGAATACAGTGGGCGAGCCGACAAAGCTGCTATAGACAACTATGTACCTCAGAACTAGAAACCGGCAAGGGCACATACTATAACTAGACATACTGTCTCTAGACCTCTAATAGAAATATAACTGTACAAAGACGGGACTGAGCCAAGTCATACCCAAATATATACAGATATATCATACCAAAATCAAAAGCAGCTCCGGATCAAGTGGAGCACGCCAACTCTTGCTGATCAAGGATCCTAAGAAGGGGTCTGTCAGCTTGCCTACCTGTACTTGCGGGCATAAAATGCAGGCCCCGTGAAATACGGCGTCAATACAAAAAATGTACTGAGTATGTAAGACATGAAAATCTATACGTGAGAGACATAGATGAAACGTGGAACAAAGAAATCCATATGTAAATCTGAATAACTTTTATAAATCCTGAAACATTTATAATGTTATGCATATGCATATAAATGTCTGGTTATGCATAGGTATAGATGCACATAATATCATCAAGCCTCTGAGGGCATCCCATCATATCGTCTCGGCCACTGTGGGCAACATCATCAGCATATACCAACTGATCAGGTGGTGGTGCGTATATAACGCTGTAACTTTTTTTCATATCCCATATACATATATTTACATATATATGACTATGTAACGCCATCTGGTCATGGGTCAATGTGCATGTATAAATGAATGAAATACATGAAAAATATGTAATAATCTCAATATTTCTTTCGGATAAACTTTTTCAAATGCGTATTATTCGGAGACCCATGAACAGAAGATAATAATAATTCACATGGGGAATCAAGAATATAGACACCCCTAGTATTTTTATGAATAGAGTAATTTATGGAAACTATGCATTTGCTCATTTCTTTTGTATAATTTGGACCGTGCCAAAAGAAAGAAGGGATGACCTTAACATACCCGGAGTAGAGAAAAATCTGTATGATATTCTTGCTCGAATTCTCGTTGAAGACGAAATTTCACGTTATAATTAAGGAGGATGACTCCTCTATACAGTTAGCAAAATTTTTGCACAAAATCACGTAGAAGAGTACTACTCCTTTTACAGTGTAGCTTACAAACATATAAAATGTAATGGTTAGTTTATATGGGTTTGGACAATTTATGGTGTGGATTCTTATGGTAGAGATTTTGTAGGAATTCATTGCTAGTACCAAACATCCTATCCATTTGAAATCTTGAAAATGTTAGAGAAGATGAAGTAGTGATCCCAAAATAATGAATTTATTAGAAATGTAGTGTATATCTAACACCCTTGGTTGCCACCTAAGATTACATGACCACTTAGTCATATGTTTGATAGTCTTTATTGCTGCCACGTTTTGGGGGTGGGAAATTATTAATTTTTATCCCCTTATTAGTTAATTAGGTAATGTCCCGTTACCCGGTAATTAACCAATTACCCACATAATTTAAAAATTATCTTAAATTACTTAAAATTCTACTTATTTTTAATATAGTTTATATATCATATACCGTGGTCATATGGTACCTTGTATGGTAGTAGTCCATAATTATCAGATATTATCGCTCGACTCGTATTTTATCCCAAATTTGTTATTTTCAACAAAACTTTTTTTCTTTAGTTCGTGTACCCTTTATCCTTCATGACACTTATTTCTCACTTGTTATAATTAGCGTAACTACATTAACCTCAAGATAATCTCATCCCCGAGTCTATGTCAATTAATTGAAGACAAAACTTTTAACGTATGAAAACACGAGATGTAACATCCTTCTCCCCTTAGAAATATTCATCCTCAAATGTTCAACTCTCTGGGATCTATATAACCTTGGCAAAGTCACCCTTGGTAACAATACTACTTCCAACTTTTCCTGTAGAAACTTAATAATTCAACGCCACATAGTATTACGACCATCAATAACGACAATGACCCTCCATGACCAATGACAATAACTAACACCAGAATCCATACACGTACCTTAATGTTATGACGCCTCAGTCGGACCCTTCTCTGGAGGAGGAAATAAGTAGGGATATCTAGATTCATGTCTTCCTCGGCCTCCATAGTCACTTCTTTCACATTGTTGTTTCTCCAAATTATTTTCACCGAAGCTACGTCTTTAGTTTTTGATCTCCAAATTCATCCGTCTAATATAGCAATTGGAGTTTCTTCATATGATAGCTGCTCTGTGACCTGAACGTCGTCAACTGACACAATTCTGGAAGGATCTCCGATACATTTACAGAGCATAGACACATGAAAGACTGGATGTACAGACTCCACGTCCAAAGGTAAGTCTAACTTGTCACACCTCCTTTTACTACCCCGAGAGGGGAAGTATAAGGGAGTTTTTTCAATTTAAGTGATATTGATCAAAACAGGATAATTATTCAAATTCAGAGTCGCCAGTTGGGATAATTTATGGTATCCTAAGAAGTCACCAGTTTAAAATCCCGAATCAAGGATGTTTGACTCTTATTTATGGTCTACGAACACAGAAATCCGGGTAAGGAATTCTATTAACCCGGGAGAATGTGTTAGGCATTTTCGGGTTCCATGATTTTAGCACGGTCGCTCAACTATTAATAATTGCCTAATTATCTGATTTTACATGTTTTAAACCTATTGTGCAGTTTTAACCTTTTATCCGCTTTTAATTATTTATGGATTTATTTCTGGAACAAGCCACGACATGTTTATTTTATTATTATTCAAAGTTGTGGTAGGGTTACATGAAATGCACACCCTAATTAGGATTTACATATCATGACCATGCCACGGGAACCGTACCCATAGTCACGATGATTATTATTAATCGCGCCTAAATCAAGCTATGATGTTTGTAATTCTTTTCGTAAGTTCGAGATTATGGTGAAGGTGATGAATTATGGATTAAACTAATGTTGTGGAGGAAATTGAGCCACCTCACGTTGTTGGGCCATCGGTATTAGCCCAATTTTACTAAATCAAACAGCCCTACATTCTAGAGGTTTTGGTCAACTTGAAATGAAAATTCTCTTAGCTTTACACTTAACATAACAACGAGACTAATCAACTTTTAATAATAAATAATTGTTATCTGTAATGATAAATATCACATTATGGTGGATGTTTACTCTTCTTCCATGATTTTTCATCTCAAATGCTTAATGACATATTCAATGACATATTTTGTATGTTCAATGACATATTCCATGACATATTTTCTTCACTTTTTATGCCTATATAAAGGCCTTGTAATAGATAGGAAAATACACACAATTGAAGAAGAAAATCTTTTCCTTCTCTCTTTCTCTCTATATCTCTTGACTTGTTTTTCCTTGTTCTATATTGTTATTTTTGAGCTACGTTTCTTAACACGTTATCAGCACGACTCTAGTCTTGTCGAAAGTTAAGTGCAATTCTTCATCCGAAAGTTTTTACTATGTCAAATTTGTCAAAGCTTGAGTTTGTGGCACTTGACATTTCTGGAAAGAATTACCTATCATGGGTTCTCGATGCTGCGATTCACTTAGCCGCTAAAGGCCTTGGTAACACCATTACTCAGGGTAATGAGGCATCAAGCCAGGACAAGGCGAAGGCTATGATTTTCCTTCGTCATCATTTGGATGAAGGTTTGAAGGTTGAATATTTAACAGTGAAAGATCCACTTGAATTGTGGACTGGCCTGAAGGAAAGGTATGATCACCTTAAGGCTACGGTATTGCCAAGGACTCGATATGAGTGGATGCACTTACGATTGCAAGATTTTAAAACCGTAAGTGAGTATAACTCTGCTGTATTTCGAATAACTTCCCAATTGAAATTATGTGGGGAAGTTATGAATGATGAGGATTTGCTGGAAAAAACTCTTACAACTTTCCATGCCTCAAATATGGTATTACAACAGCAATACCGTGAAAAAGGTTTTAAAAGTATTCTGAATTGATCTCATTCTTTCTGGTGGCTGAGCAACATAACAACCTTTTACTGAAAAATCATGAAGCTCGTCCCACAGGGTCAGCTCCGCTTCCTGAAGCAAATATGGCAGCTAGACGTGATAAGTCTGGAAAAAACAGAATAATAATCATGGCCATATGAATGTACGTGGGTATGGCAATGTTAAGAGACGATATGATAGTCGTCATCATGGTGGTCATGGAAAATAAGAGAACAATATGGGTTCTCAAAACAATCCTTCAAGAGGCAAAAGTGGTAACTGCCACCGCTGTGGCATGAAAGGTCATTGGAAAATTGAATGTCGTGCACCTGAGAATTTTGTCAGGCTTTATCAAAACTCCATCAAAATAAAGGCAAATAATGTTGGATCATCTTCTGCTAATGCCCCAGTGGAGTCACACTTGACCTTTAAAAATTATTTTGAGGCGGGGCCTTCAAACAAAAATGATGACAATACCGAGGCAAATCTTGCTTTGAAAGATGATGATTTTCAAGGCCTCAATGATCTTACTCATTTGGAAGTTGAAGATTTCTTTGGAGATCAACACTAAAGTTTGATCATTTTATTGGGGAATGCAATTATATTGTTATTTTCAGTGTTTTTATCTCATCTAAAGTTGTTTTTATTTTTAAGTAGTACTTAAGTTGTCTTATGTTGTTTGTGGAGATGTTTGTTTTCCGTATTTCTCATGATGTACTTTAATTCTTTTTTTTATGAAGAAATTAAAATTCCCCAGTCTTCAATTGGATCCAAGATGAGTAATGAAGTTTTATGTCTTTTGGATAGTGCTACAACTCACACAATATTATTTCGTTATGAAAAAGGCCTATGTTAATACAATATCCGGTAGTACAAAGTTGATTGAGGGCTCCGGAAGAGCGGCCTTATTATTAACCGAAGGAACGATATTAACTATTGATAATGCATTGTATTATAGTAAGTCTCAAAGAAACTTGTTGAGTTTCAAAGCTATTCGCCAAAATGGCTACCATGTTGAGACATCAAACGAAGGAAAGGTTGAATACCTTTATACTACTACAATAAAAGTGGGTAAAAGATATGTGCATGAAAAATTACCCGCATTTTCTTTTGGGTTGTACCACACAAATATTAGTGTGGTTGAATCACATGCCATAGTAAACAAAAAGTTTACTACTTCTAATGATTTTATCATTTGGCATGACCGGTTGGGCCATCCCAGTTCTAACATGATGCGCAGAATAATAAAGAATTCAAATGGACAGACATTGAAGAACAAGAAGATTCTTCAATTTAAGGAATTCTCCTATGCTGCTTGCTCTCAAGGAAAATTGGTTATTAAACCATCAACAGCTAAAGTAGGGATTGAATCCCCTGCATTTTTGGAACGTATACAGGGTGATATATGTGGGCCTATACATCCTCCATGTGGACCATTCAAGTATTTTATGGTCTTGATAGACGCATCTACAAGATGGTCACATGTGTGCTTATTGTCAACTCGTAACATGGCATTTGCGAGATTGTTGGCCCAAATAATAAGATTAACAACACAATTTCCAGATTATGCAATTAAGACAATTCGCCTTGATAATGCTGGTGAATTTACATCTCAAGTCTTTACTGATTATTGTATGGCCACTGAAATAAAAGTTGAGCATCTGGTTGCTCATGTTCATACTCAAAATGGTCTAGCAGAATCATTGATTAAATGCCTCCAATTAATAGCTATACCATTACTAATAAGGACAAAACTTCCCATTTCAGTGTGGGGACATGCTATTTTGCATGCAGTAGCACTTGTGCGCATAAGGCCAACCAGTTATCATGAAGTCTCCCCATTACAGTTGGTTTTTGGTTAGGAGCCAAATATTTCCCATCTAAGAATTTTTGGATGTGCGGTATATGTTCCAATTGCTCCACCACAACGCACAAAGATGGGCCCCCAAAGAAGGTTGGGAGTATATGTAGGTTATGAATCTCCTTCTATTATTAAATATCTGGAGCCTATGACAGGAGATTTGTTTACAGCCAGATTTGTTGATTGTCATTTTCATGAATCAGTTTTTCCAACATTGGGGGGAGAAAATAAACAGGTGAAAAAGGGATAGATAGGAACGTATTATCTTTATCTCATTTGGATCCTCGTACAAATCAATGTGAATGAGAAGTTCAAAAGATCATTTATATGCAAAATGTTGCAAATCAATTGCCAGATGCATTTACTAACCTTCCACGGGTTACTAAATTGCATATTCCAGCTGTAAATGCTCCAATTCGAATTGATGTCTCAGCTGGACAGTATGATAATGAAAACGAGTCTAGGCCATGCCTTAAACGTGGTAGACCAATCAGTTCCAAGGATAAGAACCCCCGAAAGAGGAAAGGAGGGAATGATCAAGTTGATCATAACATAGAGGCAATTGCTCAAGAGGAGCATAAAGACATAATAATTGATAAGACCTCACAGGAGGTTCTAGTACCTGGAAATGATGAAAATGAAGAGATCTCAATAAGTTATGTCTCTACGGGAAAAAGGTGGAACCGAAATAACGTTATTGTTGACAACAATTTTGCATATAATGTTGCAGTTGAAGTAATGCAACAAGATGAGGATCTTGAGCCAAAATCTATCGATGAATGTAGACGGAGAAATGACTGGCCAAGATGGAAAGATGCAATTCAAGTGGAATTGGCTTCACTCGAAAAACATGAAGTTTTTGGACCAATAGTCCAAACACCTGAAGGTGTCAAGCCAGTGGGGTACAAATGGGTTTTGTGCGAAAACAAAATGAAAAAGGTGAAATCATAAGGCATAAAGCACGACTTGTGGCACAAGGGTTTTCGCAAAGGCCTGTCATTGATTATATGAAGACATATTCTCCTGTGGTAGATGCAATTACCTTCAGGTATTTAATAAATTTGGCAGTCCATGAAAAACTTGATATGAGGTTGATGGACGTTGTCACAACCTACTTATATGGCTCACTAGACAATGAGATTTTTATGAAAATCCCTGAAGGATTTAAAGTTCCTGAAGCACATAAAAGTTCAAGAGAAACTTGTTCAATAAAACTTCAGAAATCCTTATACAGATTGAAGCAATCAGGGAGGATGTGGTACAATAGCCTTGGCGAGTATTTGCTAAACCAAGGGTACAAAAATGACCTTATTTGCCCTTGTGTCTTTAGTAAGAGGTCTGGATCTGAATTTGTCATCATAGCTGTATATGTTGATGACTTGAATATCATTGGCACTTCTAAAGAGATTCCCAAAGCCGTAGAATGTTTAAAGAAGGAATTCGAGATGAAAGATCTCGGAAAGACAAAATTATGTCTCGGTTTGCAAATTGAACATTTGGCAAACGGAATTTTTGTTCATCAATCTGCCTACATAGAAAAGGTATTGAAACGGTTTTACATAGATGGAGCACATCCATTAAGTACTCCGATGGTTGTTCGATCACTTTATGTGAATAAGGATCCGTTCTGATCTCAAGAAAAGAATGAAGAGCTTCTTGCTCTTGAAGTACCATATCTTAGTGCAATCGGTGCACTAATATATCTTGCTAACCCTACAAGGCCTGACATAACTTTTTCGGTTAATGTCTTAGCAAGATATAGCTCTGCTCTTACAAGGAGACACTGGAATGGGATCAAACACATATTGCGATATCTAAAAGGGACTACCGATATGGGCTGATTTTATGGCAATGATTGCAATCCTGATCTTGTTGGTTATGCCGATGCTGGGTATTTATCTGACCCGCATAAGGCTCGATCTCAAACAGGTTATGTGTTTACATGTGGCGGCACTGCCACATCTTGGCGATCGACTAAGCAATCAATCGTGGCTACTTCTTCTAATCATGCTGAGATAATTGCTATTCATGAAGCAAGTCGAGAATGTATTTGGTTGAGGTCTATAATACATCTTATCCAAGACAAATGTGGTTTGAAGTGTGACAAACTACCCACAATTTTGTATGAAGACAATGCAACATGCATAGCCCAATTGAAGGGAGGATTCATAAAAGGAGATATGACAAAGCACATTTCACCAAAGTTCTTTTTTACGCATGATCTTCAACAAAATGGTGAAATTAGTGTTCAACAGATTCGTTTATGTGAAAATTTGGCTGATCTGTTCACTAAGGCATTACCAACCTCAACATTTGAGAAGTTGAGACAGAAGATTGGAATGCTCCGTCTTCGAGAAATAAAGTGATATTTTCATGAGGGAGAGTAAGATATGCACTGTACTCTTTTTCCCTTAGCCTAGGTTTTGTCCCACTGAGTTTTACTGGTAAGGTTTTTAACGAGGCAGCAAATAAAGCGTATTATAGATATGTGTACTCTTTTTCCTTTACTAAGATTTTTTCCCTACAGGTTTTTTTCTTATTAAGGTTTTAACGAGGCACATTATCTATGGACATCCAAGGGGGAGTGTTATGATAAATATCACATTATGGTGGATGTTTACTCTTCTTCCATGATTTTTCATCTCAAATGCTTAATGACATATTCAATGTCATATTTTGTATGTTCAATGACATATTCCATAACATATTTTCTTCACTTTTTATGCCTATATAAAGGCCTTGTAATAGATAGGAAAATACACACAATTGAAGAAGAAAATCTTTTCCTTCTCTCTTTCTCTCTATATCTCTTAACTTGTTTTTCCTTGTTCTATATTGTTATTTTTGAGCTACAATTCTTAATATTATCTTAATAAATGATCAATAAAACATGATAAGGTTTACTGCAATACATGAATATGCCATGAGACACAATTAGAATATAACATTTACTCAAATGCCATCCAAATAAAACACAATGAACAAATGTATCAAAAATAACCATCAAATAGAAATAGAAAATTTGGAACTTTTAGCGCAGTTAGGAAAACTTTCATTTAATATTAATGTAATAAAACTCCAACCAAAATTCGTACAGAATGACTAATCGAGGATCACAGCTTAGAAATCAGCAACAAAATTTCAGCCGAAAAAGGACCACAACCTTAGCTCCGGCAACCTCAACCGAAGGGAGTTTCTCAACAACAAACTCGACGGCGCCTTCGAATTTAACGGACCTCTCAATACAAAGCAAATTTGAATCTGAAAATGCTTAGCACCGGAAACCTTAGACAGTGACAA